ATGTTTTTATATATATATTTGTTTATGAGGTATGAATGGGCCCTTCTTTGTTATTTTAATTTGTGTGTAATAAATACATGTATATTTTTGTATGATTTTTAGAGTTGGCCCTCTTCTATCCTTGACTAACCTTTTTAGGTTCTGAATGCCAGAACAGTCCAGCATTTGGCTCCCTCAGACATATTTCTCCACAGTGGGTCCCTGTGCAAAGAAGGTCACACCGAGGCCGCTGGTTTTCCCTGACTCCAAGAGAGCAGGTCGCCCTGGAGGAGAGACACAAACAACCTGTGAGGTGATTCACACAACGGTGTAATCTGAAGCGAAGCAGTTTCTAGAGGAGAAAAAGAGGCCCCTGCTGGATCAGGCCATTCAGCCCAGCCTCCCATTTTGAACAGGGGCTATTCAGATGCCTCTGGGATACCCACAGAGACTGCCTAACATATTTTAAAGCACACTGCATTGGAGTGCGGAGGTTCTATTTCAATCAAAAACAGCTGGCAAGGAGACACAGCAATGTTTCCTCATGATCTGACAAGCATAACAAGATTTGGTGTGTGTGTGGGGGGGGGAGAGCTCCTGAACTTCTATTCCTTGTGTAGGAATTTTGGCAGGTTCACACAGGACTGAGAGAAGTGGCATCCTCCAATATTATAAGATTTTGCATGGGAAAGAGCAGGTAGAGAAAGAGGTACTTTTCTCCCTTTTTCACAATACAAGAACTCATGGGCACTCCATGAAATTGCTGAGCGGTCGGGTTAGAACGGATAAAAGGAAGTACTTCTTCACCCAAAGAGTGATTAACACATGGAATTCACTGCCGCAGGAGGTGGTGGCAGCTAAAAGCATGGATGGCTTCAAGAGGGAATTAGATAAGCATATGGAGCAGAGGTCCATCGGTGGCTATTAGCCACAAGGTATAGATAGGGGCTCTGGGGCAAGTGATGCTCTGTCTTCTTGGTGCCTTCGGGGGGGTCAACAGTGGGAGAGCTCCTAGTGTCCTGGCCCCACTGGTGGACCTCCTGATGGCACCTGGTATTTCTGGCCACTGTGTGACACAGAGTGTTCGACTGGATGGACCTTTGGCCTGATCCAACATTGGCTTCTCTTATGTTCTCATGAGTTACTGCTCACTTCTTCAGAGACCCTTCCATGGAGATAGATCAAGATGTGTAGCTGCGTTTGTCTGCAGTAGCAGAAAAGGGCAAGAATCCAGCCTGAAGAACTGAGCAGTGACTCACAAAAGCTCCTTCCCTGCCACAAAATTTGTTAGTCTTCAAGGTGTTACTAGACTCTTGTTCTTTTCTACTCCTAAAAGACAAAGGCAATTAAAAAAAATTAATTAAATGTAGAAAAAATCAAATTGTTCACAATTATTAAAATGTAAGATGGTCACAGTTATTTACAGCTGCATACATGTTACTTATGAAATCACGGCTTTCTCTAAATTCCTAGAACGCAATGGAGGATGGGGAGGGGGGGAATTGTTCACTTAAGAGTGCCAAAAATGGATTCCAAGCACCATAAAAATATCTGCATTCAGTTAATTTGCTGCTAATCTTATCTGTGGAGTTAATTGTCCCAGCAAAGCTACAATATGCAAACACACAAGATGCACAATCCGTCATTGGACTCAATCAACTTGAACTCTCCTCCACCCTGTTTCTATTCCCCTCTTGCTTTAATGGCTTCTTTCCCCAAAAAACAACACTCCCACCCCCTTCGCCCCTCACCCTGTCTGTAAACTGCACCTGAAAACTCTGTGCTTCCAAACAGGCCTTCCAAACGAAACCTGCAAAGCTCCTGTACAGAGACTTCTTGGGGAGGGGGGAAGTGGGGAGGCAGGAAGGTGCATCTGCAATTGATTCCCCCCCCCCCCCAATTTTCTTCCTCTTTAGTTTTGAACTCGCTTCTTTTCATCACTGGACCACCCAAAAACTCGGTCACTTACGGAGGATTCGCCGAATCAGGATTTCCCTCTCGGCTGGGAAGCTGCTTTTCTGGAAGAGAAACCAGCAAGGAGGAGCGGGGGGATTCTTGTTTGGCCCCCACCGTGAGAAACGCGCCTGGGATTTTCCCAAGAGGGCTAGCAGCAGCGACACACACACCCCCGCCCCAGATCGCTGCAAAATCTGGCGGAAAATCCACTTGGGTGGAAAGAGACCTGCAATAAAACGAGGGAGAGAGTGGAAATGCACCGGGGGAGGGAAGGGCAGGACCCCCAATTTTATTTTGTAGGGCGTGGGACACTTGGGCAACAGGCTTCTATCATTCGCTCCTTCCCCGCCCCGCAGCCACATTCTCTTCTCCCATACATACAACCAATCGATCTCATGCCTCACGAAAAGGGTTTGCTTTAATTCTGAAACTAGTCTTCCATATAGTGCATGGCTGGAAAATGCCCCCCC